GGTTCGATTCCCGGTCGGGGTGCGTGCCTGGGTTGCAGGCCGGTTCCCAGGAGGGGCGAGTTCCCAGCAGGGGATGCATGAGAGGCAACCGTACATTGATGTTTCTCTCCCTTCCTTCCCTTCCCTCCTAAAGATAAAAAAAAAAAAAAAAGATAAAAAGACACACTTTATTTTCAGGGAAGATAAACATGATGATGTTAATTTCCCCTAAGTTAATCTATATAAATTAATCCCCCTCAGAGGAGTAAATTTTTTTGAGAATTACCAGATAGTTAATAAAATACCTACCAAACATTTCAGTATATTGTAAATCTGTATTACTGTGGAGAATAGACACACAGCAGTGAGATAGAACATAATTTTTTAGAACCCTAAATATATGTAGACTTGAATGTATGATTCAAAAAGTGGCATTTTAAAGCAGAGGGAAAAGGTCAGAATATTTTTAAAAATTCTTACTGTGAAAACTGGCTAGCCCTGTAGGGCAGGGAAAAGCCAAGATCCCTATCTCATTTCTTACACAATAATAAGTTCCAGATGGAGCCAACATAAAAGTATGACAAATAAAAAAATATAAATCATAACAGCATTAAATGAAAACATACATGAGTATCCTTATTTTGGGGTAGGGGAAGCTTGTTCACCTAATCATGTATAAACAAAACCAGAAACCAAAATCAGAAAACTTTATGAATAAATGAAGCCATCTGAGTATAAAATAATTAACATTCTCTATTTGATAGGAAAACACTATAAATATGGTAAAAAGTAAATAATCAAAGGGAATGGTATAGACTAAGGAATAACAACTTATGTACCAAGAACTAATATTTATAAAAGGAATGTGCCAAAAGAAAAATGAACAAATGATGTATGCAAGTAAGTCACACCAGTGAAACATACAAATTACTAATAAAGAGATTACTAGTCATTTTCTTGATTGCCCACAACAGAAACTGACACTGATGAGTTTCAGCAATAAAGGGATTGGTAGGAAGCCTGTCTGGTTAGTTCACTGAATAGACAGAGCTGGAGAAGTAAGACTGGGCAGTAACCCAGGGAGGCAGACACCAGTAAGAACTTGCCACTAGAGCAGCCAACTGGATACTCACTGCCACATTCCTGGCACTGCCACCATTGTAACCTTACTGCTACAGTACTGAGTATAGAACTGCTAGATTCACTAATTCACTGCATTATCTCCCACAAACTTTGTATCAATACTTCCAGAGCCAAGGTCCTGGTGGGAACATTTGAGTGGTCTTAGGTTATCTTCCTTGGCTCCAGCTTTCAGAGATGGGAAGGGGAACACCTGCTCTTCACACCCTGCCCAGTTTTCATGATGGAGGCTTGGGTTGTTTTGCCTAATTTGGTATCCCTTCCAAATAGGAAGTCTGTTTAGTTGTTGAATAGCTGAAACCCAACCCATGATGTTTAACTTCACTCCTATGAATAGAAGCACATCAATACGCCATTTTGAGTTCATCAAATTTGCCGATGTGAAAAACTCAGCACCATCTTGGGTTTGGGAAATGTATGTTTCCCATTATTTATTGTTGGCAGGATCAAACCTTTCTGGAGGTCAGCTTGACAACTGGTGTCACAGTGCGAAATATGCATACCCTTTAATCCAAGGTGTCAGTTCAACATAGTTGTTGGGATGATATATTAAGTGCACTGCTATTTCTAACTTGTGTTTCCCTAGCTTGGGGATAAGGGGTAAGTAAAGAGAGGGATGATGGGAGATTTCCTGCAGACTATTTGCATGGATCTTAAAGATGGCCACCTAAGAGTTCCAACCAAGGATTCTTTTCCAAGCCTGTTCTGGCCAAGCTGGGATAGGACAACTTTGGGGTCCCATGGGACAAATAAACCTGAGGTGGCAGATTGGGAAGGGGGTTCACATGTCCTAGTAAGGAAATCAGATGTTGTTTAGATACATTGATGCCAAATAATCAATATGCTATATGAAGGCTATCTTACTAGGCATCCAGTAAGGAATAAGAGGAGCATTTGCCACTGTATTGAAGCCTATACTTTAGGGCAGGTGACAGATTGTAAACTGATTCCAATATGGTAATGTTAGTGTTATGACCTGAGAGGTGCCCAAGAGAGCTGGTGGAGGGGACGTGTTGTGGAGCAGGTGATACCTAAGATGAGACCTTAAGGTTGAGGGGAGGTTAGCTAAGCCAAGCTAAGTGAAGAGCCTCAGGATAGGTGTTGGGGACAGAGGAAACACCTATGCTAACAGCTTGAGCAAAGTCCCCTTTTTTCTAGATCAAATTACCTGAGGGTTTGGAGGGAAGAACAAGACATATCATAACACTGGGTTGTAAGTGGGTACTAGAGGACAGCTCTGACATGAGGAAAATCAGACAGAATCATATTTTACTAGACTCTGGTGACAGAGGAAAGCACCCTCCAGATTTTTGCTAAACTATACTAATTACATTTTGGATTTCTGCTACATGCTGGTGGGAAAAGGTGGACATGGACACTAGGTAGTACTGGGCTAGGGGAAGGGGTAGTGTTAAAAGGGGTGTGATGAACCTTAGCTTGCCCCTGTCTGGTCATTATAAATTAAAGGAGTCAGATAGGTCCAACTCTAATTTCTTTGAAGCACATGACAGCAGGGGGATTCCAAGTGGCTTGCTTGGACTGGAGAGGTGGGCCCAGGCAATGAAGTCATATTCAGGCTATGGTTTCACTATGAAGAAGAGAAGCAGGGTGGTAAACTTCCCCTGGGCTTTGACTCCCAGTTTAATAAATTTAAAAAGAGAACATTTGTTAGCACCTACTGTTAGTATACATATGCCAAGCACATATGCCAAGAAAGGAAGGATGTTCTGAAAAGCAGCAGCAGGACAGTCACATGGTAAAGCCTATTGGAGGAGGCTGAGGATTGCTCACAGCAGTTCAGAGAAAACCCCATCTAGACCAATTCCAGATCTGTCTGGGGCTTGAATTCTCCAGCCTTAATTAAAGTTGCTCAGCATCTGAGTTTGGGTCCTCCTTAAAGCATAGCATGAGACAAAGATAAACAGCAGGTGTTGAAGAGGGGGCGGGGCCTATCACAATGCACTGGCTTACACGGTTTATAGTTGTGGCTGAAATTTAGGATCATCTCCCAGCATTAGACATGGGGAATGGAAAGGTTTTGCTATGCTCAGTTTCCTTTTAAGCTATTTATTCATTCAACCAAACATTCATTAGAACCATGGTCAGTACTAGACATCTAAGGTCAGCAAAACAGACCTAGTCCCTGCCTGTTTGCAAATTTTGAGGAAGTGTGATGGGTACTATGAACATCTGAGTCCAAAATTGAGACATGCTAGAAAAAAAAGCAGTGTAGGCAAGCTAACCTTGGGGGCTAACTTCCAAGTGGGCTTGACACCTAGGGTGACCACAAGACCCTTCCCACCTCTGAAAAACAAGCAAACAAACTTTGTTAACACAATGGCTGGATATTGTGATAAAATATTATCGCACTGCTTGAAATGCCACCAAAAGCTGTTCCTTTTACCAGATGTCCAGATGAATGAGTTCAACATACAGTGAGGAATAAATATTTTGATTAGATGGTGAGAATGGAAGTGATTTGAAGGCTAGTGCCGAACACCTTGTGGGGGTTACCATAAGAGTCTTGATTACCATGGGATGGGAGGCCAGAGAAAAAAGCCAATTACTTTGAAATATGGTGTAAGGTGGGATTATGTTTTAAAAGGGGGAAGAGAGAGCCTTTTTCTGTTTTCTCCCTTCTAGTAATCGGGACTCAGGCTAAGTGTTAGGAAAGAGGAGAATCTACACAGAAGAGGTCACAAACCAGTAGATTTGGGGCTGCAGGCAGTCTAAAGATGTAGGTTTTTTTTTCCTGCTCTAGTTTTTCATTTTTAGTTGAACCAACATTTAAAAATAGGATTTACACCTTCTTTTTTAAAAAATCAGATGATCTGAGCTCTCATTTCTACGTAGGAACAATTGGGTGGAGCTGAGTGGCAGCCACCTGCTTTAGAAAGATGTTCACTTTTAGTTTGCCATAGTCCCCACCATTCCTGATATTCTCCCTAACCCCGAGAGCCCAGTCACTTGAAGTATTAATAGGTCAATATGATGACTGAAACACCAGAATTCTTCATTCACTGATAAGGCTTATTTAGGTCCCTGTGATAATTGTGGGTCTGTGACCTGTCATTTAGAGGTCAAGTCTAGAGGCTTTGAAACAAACTTGGGTTTGAATGGATGACTTGAATCAACTCAAAAGGCACTGAATTGAAGATTAAAGGAGACTACATGCTTAGCACGACGCTGGAAACTTAGCAGCTATTACAAGCATCCTCTAGGAGTGTAAGCTGCAGGAAGGCAGGCAGAAATGGTGTTGGCTTCCCACTTTATTCCATGTCCATCGCACAGCACAGTGCTTGGCACATACGAACTAGTTGCTTAATGAAGGACTGATGGTTGACGTCAGCAGGATTTTAAAGGCTGGTCTGGAAAGTAAGGTAATTAATTCTGATGATACGGTTTCACTGCGACCCCAACGTGTCGCCTAAAAGAAGAGCTCGGCTCCGTGATGGCCTTTAGGGGTTCCTAACAAGAAGCGCGGAGCTGGCTTGCCCAGGACAGGTCAGGGTCATGTCCATCACCTCTTCCAGGGTCTGATTATGAGCGATACCCCGATTCCTGCCTTATCCCAGACCTCCCCCATCAGATCGGCACAGACGGAGATGCTGCCCAGAGAGTCCACCACCCTGCGCCTGCCCAGTTCTCCACGCGCCGCGCCGGGAACGCGCCCACACTAGACATGGCCTCTCTCAGGCTTCACGCAGTTGGACCGCTCCGGGAGCCTCCGGTTAACTCCGCGGCCGGCGGGCTGGCCGGCTGGCCGGGAAACAACTTCGTTCCCACAGTCAACATGGCGGCCTCGAAGGCTTCAACGCTGGGCGGGCGGGGGCTAGAGGCGCGTCACGTGAGCCGCCCGGCTGGGCTGGTCGTGCGCGCGCCCGTTAGCCCGCCCGCGGACTAGCTCGCGGGCTCGCTCGGCGGTGCTGTGAGGTGTACAGATCGTCGAGCACCGTGCTCGGTGCGATGCGGTGGCGGTCGTGGCGGGGCCGCGGGCCGGGAGGGCGAGGGCGGGGATGAGTGTGGACGGCCACCGCCATGTCCAAGGTAACGGGGCCCGGGCCCGTGGCGGCGGCAGCGGCGGGCGGGAAGGAGAAGCGCTCCTTCAGCAAGCGGCTGTTCCGGAGTGGCCGCCCGGGCGGCGGAGGCGCCGGGGGCCCCGGAGCGCCCGGGCCGGCCGCGCCCTCCTCGCCGTCGTCGGCTCGCTCGGTGGGCAGTTTCATGAGTCGCGTCCTCAAGACGCTGTCCACGCTCTCGCACCTGAGCTCCGAGGGCGGCAGCCCGGACCGCGGCGGCCTCCGCGGCTGCTTCCCGTCCGGCCCGCCCGCGCCTCCACCCTGCCCGCCGCCCACCGAGCCCGCTCCGGCGCCCGCGCCCACGTCGCCCGCCTCCGAGCCAGTCCCTGGGGTGGCGGGACTCCGGAACCACGGGAACACGTGCTTCATGAACGCCACGCTGCAGTGCCTCAGCAACACTGAGCTCTTCGCCGAGTACCTGGCGCTCGGCCAGTACCGCGCCGGCCGGCCCGACCCTGAGCCCGAGTCGCCCGCCGGCAGTACCTCTGGAGAGGTCACTGAGCAGCTGGCGCACCTGGTGCGCGCCCTCTGGACGCTGGAGTATACGCCGCAGCACAGCCGCGACTTCAAGGTGGGCGCCCCCCACCTCTTCCCCGGAGGGCCCTTGCACCCGAGTTCTCGGGGCGCCTCCTGCCTATGTCCTACTTCCTCCGTTCCACCACGGCGGTGCTTGTTAGGTGTGGGTGGGCCCAGAGGCTGGGGCAGGCACCACTGATTGGAAGGGAGAGCTGTCGATTGACTGATCGACTGACTCATTCATTCATTTTGTATTTATTGAGAGCTTACCACGTGGCAGGCGCTGTGATGGGACAGGACAGTGAACATGACCGGCTGCCTTCGTGGAACTTGCATTCTTAGTGGGGGGGACTGTTGAACCGGGTTCAGATCTCGGTTTTGTCACTTCGTAGTAGTGTGACCTCTGGAAGGTTACACAATCGCTCTTTGCCACAGTTTCCTCTGGTACCGACCTCATAAAGTGGTTGTGAGCTGCAAACAAGTCTATTTGTTTGAACACTTTGGTACTACTCAGTTTGACCCTTTTTGACTTAGAGATTGTCATTATTAGAGGGTTCAATCTCATATGGAAAAAGCCTCAGTTGTGCACAGCACCGTGTGTTTTGCTGCTCTGATTATTTTTATTAATGACTTTAATAAGTTAATGGGTAATATCAGTGGTTTGGAGAAAGTAAAACCTGATAATGCCATTGGTGTGCTGCTAGACCACTTCAAATGGGGAGGGGGTAATTAGGGTGACAATTTGGAGGAGGTGACATGGGAACTGAGACTTGAGTAACTAGAGAACCTGCCTTGGAGGAGGTCACAGAGGTTCTTCCCAGGTGTAAGGAAGCTGTGCACTTGGGAAGCAGTAGAGTTGTGGAACCTGAAGACTATCTGTAAAGGGCTGCAGAGTAAATATTTTGGGCTTTGCTGGTTAAGATGCAGCGTTCAGGGTATTTACTTAAGTACCTATATAACAAGAAAAAACAGATATCCACAAATTTTTATTGACTAAAATAATGCAATGATAGTTGAGTATAATACTTTATAATACAGGTGTACTAATGAGAAGAATGGGATTCTTCTTTTGGAAGGGATAGTAATATTTAGTTTAATTGCAGTTCAAAATTAGTGTTGCCTATTATCAGATTTAATACAGATATTCATTTCTACAAACCATTCTTAGCCCACAGGCCATACAAATACAGACAGTAGGATAGATATGGCCCTTGGGTCTTTGTAGTGAGTGGTTTGGAGCTGAGGGCTGAGTTCCATGACATGGTACCATTTGGGCTGCACTGTGGAAATGGACTCTTAGTCTCAGCAAAAGGGGAAGATCGTTTGAGATTGAATGAGGATTACTTATAGATGGAAAAAGATAATATAAATAGAATTAAATTAAGTAGAATGAAACTACACAGTGAGAAATTTAACTCCTTTTTCCTTCTCTTTCTGTCCTGATCATGCGCAAGAGAAAAAGTCTCAGCTTGGTGGTAGCCTGACTTTAACACCACTTGCTCACTCCTCATTTTTTTTTTTTTTAAGAAAGAACAAATCTCAAGATTAGGCTTTAGTAGGCAACAGTAGCTAGAATTAAATAAAGTTATGTTTTCACTGGGCTTCTTTTTACATTTGTATTTATGGCAAGCGGTACTGGCCTTTCATCGGTGCTGTGACGTTGCTTTCAAAAATCCATTTAAGTAAAAGTAAATGACTCGATTAAAATATAAAATGGTAATCCATCTGAGGAGTCAGCACTTGGTTGAGGACTTAACTTCTTGCTGAGGAATAGCTCTGTCAGGGTGTATCCTTCACCTTTTAATACTTTAATTTATATTGTTCTATCCTGTTTTTCTGAAAGAGAATAAATGGTTGTTGTTTGATCTTGGAAGCTTGAATAGAAATATTTAACTGGCATAGGGACTGGAAAAAAATGAGGTCCTTGTCAGAGGACCTCAAAGACAGATCTCAAAACAATAAAGTAGGAGAGGATGGCAACCAATCAGTGCCTGTCTTTTTCTTTTTTACTTATAGTTGCTTGTAAGTAGCCACAGCAATGAAAAACTTTTTAAGGTCAGAGCCCAGTGTTTCAAGTTTCATTTTCTCCTCTCTCCCAAATGTGAAAATCAATTTCTACAGCATTTTGGTATGAGAACATTTCCATTGCTTTTTAAGAGATTGTGTTCATTCTTTTATCCATTAAAAAGCAGTAAACAGAAATGGGTAAATAATTTTAGAAATGCAGAGACTGATTTATAGGCACGCTTTGGTAAAGTTGAACATTCTTAGAGGCACTATTTTCTAAAAACTTTAATCTTCTGAAGCTTTAGTAGATTTCACTTTGCATTCATTCATCCATCTCTCATTTATTGAAGGTTTACCCAACTAGTTAGGAATGTGTTCAGTACAAGAAGAAGGAAGCTGTAATGATGTGCCTTAAAACATAGGTGGCTCTCAGGTGACAGTGTCTTGATGGGCCCAGTAAGCACCCAAACCATTTCTGGTTTCCACTCTTGTCCTTAATGTTTGTCACCTCATGGCATTCTACCCAGTCAGGACAGAAAGCTGCTAGGGAAATAAAAATTTTCCCAGAAGCCCCTTCAGCAGGCTTCTCATTGACTCTACCCAAGTCACTTGCACCCCTGGCTGCCATGGAGGACATTTGGGCTTTCCTGTCTTTTTAGAAGAGATTACTACAGGGGCTTCCCTCAGGCAGCCTACCAAGCACTTGCCTACCATGTGCCAGGCACTTTCATTTGGGGAAGATACTGTTCTTGCTGGTAGAACATGTTGAATTCCCCCAGACACTGTATCCATACTTTAATGTACTTGTGATTCACCTGGGCCTCTGTTACAAAGTAGATTTGGATCTGATAAGAGCTGGGTAGGGTCTGAGATGCTGCATTTCTAACCAGCTTAGAAGTGATGCTGTTGGCTAGTGACACCATGGAGAGTGAGAGGATTCAGAAAGTCTGGGAGAAGTGTGTTGTGAACAGATTGTAAAGGTGATTGTAGAGTATGCTAGTTGGTATGTTATCCTCTGGAAGTTGAGAATCCAGTGCTGAGTTTTAAGCAGGAGAGGAGTAGGATCAGATTTCTTTTTTTAATTTCCTTTTCCCTCATCCCCATTTTGTTGTTTGGTGGATTACCAAAGAAGAGGTACTTTGTTTTTTCCTAAGTGTTCTACTATAGCCAAATTTGATGGCTGTGATTTTGAGCATGAAGAAAGTTGAACACCAAAAGAGGTAGCTGTGAGGCATACTTGTCACCATGTCCTGCTGGCCTTTTTGTGGTAGACACCAATATCTGATGCACATCCTGTTCTCTCGAGCTCACATTCAGCCTCAGTTCAGGGGTCTAGGCAGCCACTGCCAGTTGATTGGGTTTGGCAGAGGAGTTAAAACCAATTTGCCACCATGAGATAGTTTGTCTTGGGGTCTTAAAAAGCACTTAGTATGTTTTTGAATGAGCTTTTATCATCTTCAAACTTCCTTAAGTTACTAATGATTGATTTTCTTTGTAAGTTTTTTAATTAGAATTCTTTCTTGCTTTCTAATCATATCGATTGGAGCTTTAGAAGCTTGCCAGGTAATTGGATTTTTGATTTTGGAAGAGCTAGGTGATGGTTAAGACTGGATTTTCATTTTCCAGAATGAAATGGGTTTACCGGCTCAACCTCGGTGTCTCTTAAGAATCTTCTCTAGCTGCTACTCAGTTCCATTTCTCTTTTTACATAGACATTGATTTCCTGCTCTTAAAGCCGTGGTTCTCAGCCAGGTGCTTTTGCCTGCTCCCAACCCCTCACTCCTGGGAACATTTGGTGATGTCTGGAAACATACTTCGGTTGTCCCAGCTTTAGTAGGGTGCTGGCATGAATGCCGCAGGTTCTAGTTCTCAGTGCCCCTGTGCAGTAAGAGGAAGATGGATGGACATCTTTCAAGTAAGAAAGACAAGTTTTATAGCAGAGTTCTCAAACCATGTTCCCAAAGAACAACTAGAACATAGTGATCTGATAAAAGAACTGTGGGAACTCCATCCAAATTTGCAGTAAAACAAAAAGTAATTGATGAAAAGAATTTTCTCTCTCATGGTAGTTTCCTTGAACTTTGGTGCCTGATGGTGCTTACTTATTAGTGAGCGTTCTCAGCTTACAGATGAATATTGACAGATAAGTTAGCAATCAGGGACTGACACAAGTGGGGTGTTATACCTTGCTTTTTCATGGACTGATGCTGCAGGCCTTTAATAGATGCTTTCCTGGTTTGCATGAAGCTATTTAGTACATTGATATTTCACAGTGGTTCCCAACAAGTACTCTGAGTTCAGAGTGTCCCTTGAATTCATTTGAAAAATAGAAAAAAACTCCAGCCAAGATGGAGGTGGCGTAGGTGGAAACACTGTGCCTCCTCACACAATCAAGTTTAAAGACGACAAAGTTCTAGTAACAAAAACGCAACCAAAACACAGAAAAATTGAACTGTATGGAAGTCCAACAACAATGAACCATTCAGCCAGACCGGTAAGAGGGGCGGATTCAGTGGCTGGCGTAGTGAGGTTCCACAGGAAAAAGTGGCCAGACCGACCCAGGCGCGTGGGCAGCAGTTGGCATATCCCAGGCGTGGAGTGGCAACAGGTGGACCCAGTGAGGGTGCAAGGTGGCTGGGGACCGCGGTCACACATTCACATGCAGATAAACCAGGTGAAAAAATGGACAGTGAGATGGACTATGCAATGCAGGGTCCCAGCGCCAGGAATTAAAGCCTAAAAGCACCAATTGGAAAAACTTTCATGGTCCGGGTGCCTGGAGCAGCTCCCAGGCTCACAGAGAGTTTGTTGGAGAGACTCACAGGGTCCTGGAGGGTGCACAGGCCCACACATTTGGAAGCCGGCACCAGGGGGGCCCAGTTTGCTTGTGGGAAGCAGCAGAGGGGACTGAAATCTGAGAGAGAGCAGGGACAAACGCCATTGTCCCTCTCTGACCCTGCCCCCACATATAGCGTCACAACCCAGGAACTGGGTTGCCCCACCCCGCCTTGGTGAACACCTAAGGCTCTGCTCCTGATATGTAACAGG